GATATAGGGGGAAATGAGATGCCCCCTGGAAGTCTTTGTGGGTCCCCCGTTGTCATACTATGAATATGATCATGTGCTTTCCAGTTTTGTGTGGTAGTCCTTTTTATCTTCTCTCTGTCATGCAACAAAATGTCTGTTTAGTTAGCTTCTTACCAGTATTCTTAACAAGGAAAAGATTATGGGAAGCTTAATATTTCAGGACAGCTAACAGCATACCTAAATACATCACAGATGGCCTTGTTGAAGGAGAGTATCCAAAAAGCCATACAATTTCCAAAGAAATACTAGTGTTAGATTCAACAAAAACCTGTTTAATGTTAGCTTTAAGAAAACTGGACAGTGTCAATTCAAGAAGTCTCTCTGAGCATATTAATGCAAAAGAATCGAAAACACAAAAGCATAATGAGATGAAACAAAAGAAGACATTTGAAATGCTACTATCGTAATTTTGATGAAAGTATTAAACATGGTATTTAACGTTAACTTGACTTTGCACTTGGAGGGTAACCTACTGCTGCTGTTCTTTAATTAATTTCCTGGAAGGTAACAAGTGCTGACCCAAGGCATATACTCAGTATCTCCAGTTTACACATGCATTACAGTTCGTCAAATTTCTGAGATTCTTGGACCTTAAATGTCTGTGTGGAAGTCAGATGTATTTTTAATACTAGTGCAATAGTGCACCAGTGCAGTAGTGCACACATATGGCTCTTCACATGACACTAAAGAACCATGACTGGATTTCCTAAGGTATAATTTAGCCTCCAAAAGCAGGTGGGGGATTGTGATGTACAGAATCAAGACCGCCCCCTTTTCCTTAGCTCCCAGTCCATTTTGTGCCTTGGTGGTTTGGTAGAGAAAGCTGGCAATGGCCAAAAAGGGGCTTTGTAGCACTAAGGAGTGGGGAACGGGTAGAGGAGGAAATGCTGTTCCATCCCACTCATCAACCAAGGTGAGGGGGGGGGGGATTGTGGCCAGCCCTGCAGATGGGAAGGCACATACCCATCCCGATGCATGGAAGTGCCCTGGCATGGGGCCACAGGCAGCGAGTGAGGGCCTGCCCTTGCCCTCTTTGTCTCTGACCTCTTATTGGGGCCCTCATAACACTCAGAGGGAGAAGGGAGGGGGAATGGGCAGAGGAGTTTTCTGTTCAGCTAGGGTTTAGAGATTTTAACCACTTAAAGTAGTTTGGCAGTTATTTATTTATTTATTTATGTAAATTTATATTCCGCCCTCCCTGGAAGCAGGCTCAGGGCGGATCACAAACACAATATCTGGAACATATCAAAAATGTCAATACATATTAAATATAAATATAAACCAATTAAGACAGTTTAAGAACAGCATAGAATAAAACAGAATGCACTATTTATCCTTGTGCAGAGATTTCCACCTTGGGGCCATTGGTCTCTAGATGTTCTTAGTCTGGGCCATGTGGAGATGGTGTTCTCTCCATTCTGAATCAATATAATTAGTAATTTATTTATTTATTTATTTATTAAATTTATACCCCGCCCTCCCCCGTAGGGCTCAGCTAATGAAACTGGGTATCCATATCTCACTATCTCTGTAAGGCACATTTGTATAAATTTGATCTTAGACATCCATAGTTTAGTTTTCCATCCCAGTAAAATAAATCTATTGCTTGTTGTTTTAAGAATCTCTGTTTACCTTCATGGTAAATCAGGAGGAGCAGACAAGGTTAACCAAGGAAAAACAGAGTGTATGTCTCAGAACCTCCATTATGGCTGAGGACAAACTGGCAGTCTGAAGCGTGAGGGAGGCGGGGCAAAAAGACCCGGACCAAGTTGTGCCGGGGATTCCCAGTCGCACTGCACCTACTGATTCGGGTGCATACCGGGGAGGAGGCGCAAAGGAGCATTCGCACTGTTGGCCCGCCCCTGGTGGAGGCGCGGCTGTAAGCAGCTTTTTTTCACTCCGGCGACATGCGCCTATGCACATAGGTGCAGCACTGCAGCAATGCAGCTTGTTTGTGGCTTTTAGCATGCACATTCCGGGAAGCGGGATCGACGCACCCTCCAGGGTTTGCTACAGCTTTCACCCAGTACTTTTTTAACGCAGTAGGGAATTATCATAGGACGGGTTGGGTATGGTTGGGGAATGCCGGCTATAT